AATAATGCCCCAATACCAGCCTTAACTTGTAGCAAAAGCATGCAGGAGCAGTCCTAGTAAAAATATATCCCAGCACGCTTAGCCTTTCTCAGTATATACTGCCTGAAATCACTATTTCTGTAACCAACATCTGTGTAAACAACTTACATTTTAAATTACACCTTCTCCATAACAGGTGATGCTTCTACTACAACTAAAAAGTAATGGGGTAAAACACTGCTCAGATGCACAAGAGATCTATCTTACTCTGCCTCTGTAGCAGAGGGAATATATACTGCTGAACAAAGCTACAACTCCTCCCTGTGATGTCATTTATACCACAAAGAACCTTTTGAAAAGTTCATAGATAAAATTCCAAAACTGTACCAAAAGCTGAAACTTTCACATGTTTTAATTAAATGATTACCACTTGAATACCTTGCATTCTTCTCACGTTTACGCTTCAAGCCTTTCATCAAGAGGTAGCATTGTTCCATTATACAAATGTGAAAAAAAATAAGGAAAGACAAAAGCCAAACTGGGTAAAGAACCTAAAGTTTTTGAGTGCAGTGGTTTGACCAGAAGTACAAACTGTTTCTTAGAAATATCACTTTCATTATGAAAGACACATTACAGACTTGGATTAAACATGCTGCATAGTACCACTGCTAAAACCCTGTTCTACAGCAACAGAGAAATCAAGGGCTTTTTTTAATAAGTAAAAAAGTAAGTTTGTTTTGCTTCTCTGAATATGAAGTAATTTCCAGTTGAGTTTCAGAGATATTAAACAAAAATACAATTGACACTATTTAGAATTGTAGGAACTGAGCATATTTAATAGCTGAAGCACCTCAGGACGGTCAGCCGGAAAGTGTCAAAATTTTGAAGGATTTTTGCTTCAAGTGACTCCAATTACAAAGAAATTATCTTGGGAATCTAAGCCACACGTTCTCCTCCTCCACAGGCTTCCCACCCATTGCCTTTGAACTACACCAATTATATCCACTTTCCAAAAATAATCATTCTATTCTTACAAAACAACTTATTTAACAAGTAAGTGTTCTGCTAAGTCTGTGACTTAAACCACTTTCTGTTATCACAGCCACAGATTTGAATAACGAGCCTTTTATTTCTGTAAAGCTAAGTTTCAATAATTTTTAACACTTTTGTATTTTGTAGATATCATTTACAAGAGTAGAGTTGGGTCTACAGTGACTGTTACTTCATACGGAAGAACAGAGTTATCAATCACACAACTGAAATAAACCATTTAATACTAGAATTTCCTTTAACGTGAGAATTTAAAAAATATGTCAAAAAGCAACAGAGAAGGATGAAAAAAGACACATAATGGAAGAGAAAAAAGTGATAAAGCAGTATTTTCTGTTACACAGGCACACAATCAATGCATATTCATTCAGAAAGAACAATGAGGAATTCAAATATAAAATGAATGCATGCTCTTCAGATCACACCCCACCATATCCAATGCTTTCAGTTATTCTTAATTTACAATCAAGTAACCAAGAGCTGAGCTTTAGTAATGTTGTTTAAAATATAAAAACGCCAGAGGTGAAGAATTTATGTCTAAGATGCTAAGCAGAATCACAGCGAACAGTGATGCATCCAAAATCACAGTTTTGTCCATTATATGCACATAGTTTCTATCATTATGGAGGATATTTATGCATTATACCTGCTGTAAGATTTTTCTTTTTGAATATACATTGGCATACAAACATTACTAATATTTTCAAGGGTACAGAATTGGTCCACACATGGAAAAGAAAAAATAAAATAAAAAAATCAGAATTTATTTACTTGCTCCAATTTGTCATTCCTGATGTACCAATGATCATACAATTGAGTAATCCCATTGATACCTAGCTTTTACTGCAGTAGTTAAAAAGCAGTACAGAGTTTTGTTACTATAATAACAAAGACAAGCCTATGATCTAAGACCTCTTACTTTATGCTGCTCTTTCTTGTTGATGTAAAGCTAAGTGAAGAGGTTTCTCCACTGAGGTAAGGACTAATAGACTTATAATAACGGGCTTTCAGTGCTAGAGAAACACAAGTTTTAAATCAACATTATATCTCTCTCTGGAGGCTCTATATGGTCACTTGGATGCAAATTAATCATTAACTTCAATAGCATGACACCTCCTCAAGATAAGATAATCTGCACTATTAGGAAAAGCTTATCAGTCTTCCTCCTAATACATTACAAATCAGAATGTGACCCTCACATGGAGGTAAAGCCAGTGCACCAGAGTTTAGGAAGAGAGAAAGGCTTTCTTCAGTAACTAGATGAGAATCCTTGGAAATTGGTTAATGTTATATTTTTTTCCGCTTGAGAAATTCTTCCAGGTTTACTTCTTACTTGCAGATTAAAATGTTGCATATCTTCTGCTAGTAAATAAATGAGCTACGTTTCTCTCAGTGTTTTTTTATACTAGTGGTTCAATATGTAGAATGTGCTTTTACTAGTTCACAGATCTGACCACAGGCATTTGTCATGCAGATTTAACCTCCCTGGGGCTGTGCAGTTCACTGTATTAGGTAATTTAAAGCAAGATAGTTTTACTTACTCTTCTGGTCTGAATGTTTCCTCTTACAACTTTTACTCCCTTTTATTTACTCCTCAGGTTGCTGCCAATGAAAAGCTTTTACAACCTTCTCTTTGAGAACTGGCATTACCCTGACTGTGTAAGAAATGCATCTCTAAAGCTGACCTATAACTGTTGCTCTGTAGGCAGACTGCAAGGCATAGGTCTTTGGCTTTTTTACTCTAAAACTTTGAGTGTGGAATAGCATCAGTTTTATGTGACTCTGCATGCTGACAGGTGGATAAAATAAACTACTAATGTATATTCCAAAAGAAGAGAATTTCCCAAGTAAGTCACAACAGTGAAAGAAACAGCGGAAGAAACCAACCTGGCAAAATGATAGTCTACAAAAGCGTATCAAAATATCCTGTTTCTGAAATCTGGTTTCCCAAATCCAGATCTTGTTTTGCAATGAAGCTGACAAAGCTGAGGCATAATTTAAATAGCTGAATGGCTTTGAAACAAACAAAAATCCCTCCCTGCAATTTGAAGATTATTTGCAGTCACTGATCTGCACAAGAAAAATTCCTACAATGTATATTAGTACGGCTGTAACTCCAGAATAATTTGTCTCCCTTATAATAGCACTATCCCTGTTTGATACAATAAACATAATCCCCAATAAATAACTGCAATAAACAGAAGAAAATAAACAGATTCCTTGTCTGACAGAATATAAGAGAGACAATGAGCCTATGTTTTGAGGGACTGTTACTAAGTGCTATAATAAATAACAAAAATATAGCTAAGAATCCAAATTTAGCCATTCTATGTAACTACTTTTATGAAAAAATCCAACCTCTTGCCAACAGAAATTTACATATTTTGCTAAGCAGATTTATTTCTCACACAAAATAAAACTCATGGGTTCAAGATCTCCTGTGGTCCGAGAGGTGTAGTATATCAACTTCAGGACTAAAGATTGCACTTATCTCAAGTTTATTTCCAGGAAAGGATTTTGCAAGAAGGACAAATGCTGAGTTTCCGACACAGAATCAAATTTTCTGTGTCACTTTAAAGCAAATATGAAAATATTTTTTTTTGTGATTATAATTACATTACCAAGTGTATTTGAGAGACAGAAATGCACATCTGCAAAGCTAACTGAACACTAAGAATAACTTTGGTAGGATTGAAATAGAAAATAGCCAAAGGAACCTTCAGTGTTCATATTATAAATGTTGCATAAATGTTGCTGGGAAATACTTATTATTTTGATATACTGAAGTTTGCAGATCCTTTCTCATGCTTTATAGAGCCTATATACACAGATCTGGAATTAAAATTATGTGGAATAGCTGCTAAGTGACAACAGAAATTTGCACTGGTCCACAAGCCTGTCATAAACATTGTACTCCTAGGCCTCTTGCCTTCCCATTTTCCTTACAGCCACTGCCTTGTGTTTAATCTGAAATAGAATACTTTGCCTAATAGGTGCAGTGATTTCTGTTTAGAAACAGAAGTCTCCTTATTTATATAAATTCTTGACTTAATCTATTTTAAGTTACACAACATGACAACAATGTTCCTCTATGTGGCATATTTCTGTTTAGGTTTGCATTTGTTAAATAGAAACATATTAGCATGCAGTGCCAGGAAGCATTCCAGTTCAAATCATCTTCAGCTTTGCTCTTGAAATTGGAAAGATGTGCCCATATGTAGATAAGCACAGCGCAAGAAGAGAAATGAGGGGAATATGAAGTCAATGCATTGTTACATTGACAAGTAACCACACACCTTTTCTCATGACCAATAGCTAATGCCAGGCTTCCTCATCCTCAGCTGACAAACTCAGGGGATGTTTGGCTTTCCAGGTACAAATAGAAGCTACAGTATTGAAGGCTGAGGATGGACATGCTTTCTGAACAGGTTATCTGTGTCCAATTTCAACCTGGTCTCCAAACAGCGTAACATGCCTCTTCCTTCCACTTACCTTGCAGAAGACAATGGACTGAAAAAGAACATGGTGTGTTGAAGACTTTAATCAAGCATACAGGAGAGAGTCATATTTTGCTCACAAGTATAAAACCAGACAAAATTAATTTTGAATGCTGTCTCATCCTACTGTGCAGGAAAAAAAAATACACACCAAAATTTGATTCATTTATGCTGAAAGCTGTTGGGTTAGATAACATGTAAACTATAATACTATCAGCAATATTACCATTTTTAATACGTGTCTCCCCCTTTTTTTCTTTTAATTTGTTCTAAACATTCATCTGTTCATTTGAATGCCATGCCCCTATAAAATCAGTCACTCTGAAGTGTTAATCCTCTGAAGATCTAAAAAGATGCACTTAGAGAAGATGACTTGACACTACAACATGCTTTTCATGTAATGATATAACCTGAGAAAACCTAATTCTACCTCTTTCTGCTATCTTCAGTTTGACCATTTTTATTTGTAACTACCTCTGATGTCTTGATGTCCTCATAAGAAAACTGCGTGGCAGGTACTCCGAGATGGTTGATGAAATAATCTGAATCTCCCTGTATCTGCACAGAACTCACATTAGATCCTGGACATCTAGTCTTTTTCGCACAGTTGAAGCTCTGGCTCTGAAAAACAAACAGAAATCAAAATTCTAGTTACTTACTTGCAACCGGGCTCTTAAATCACATGTATCATATGTTATTTACACAGCATTCTTTGGATGGAAGCATTTTAAGAACAGTCTGGAACTTACACTGGTGCAAAAAGGTATTACCTGGTTCATACTCAGTAGTCTACAAACTTTCTACCCTCTATTGATACATATTGTAGGATCAGACACAGCAGAGAATAAAGTGTGCTGCAACATGGCTGAGTTTTTCAAAGGACAATGAAAGTCATCTCCAATTGAAATAATAGGAGTGGCAAGAAAAGAAGTCTTTGGTAGGCTATGAAATGCCCCATGCTGGGCAGGAGATCAGAGTTCATCATGGTGCCTTTTGGAAGCGTGTTTCCAGATCTTTAGTGGCTACTAAGGAATTAATTTTTATTCAGTTAATAGCATGTTCTCTAACAGCAAAAAGCCGAATCAAATTATTATATTCAAGATACCTGATAGTGGATGAAATGCTGGCGATTTTTCTGGGTAAATTGCTTAAAACAATTCTAGTCAGTGACATGTTTGTATTTCTTTCAAATAAGCATTTTATGTGAAGTCTTAGCAACAGAACAGTAGCAGATGTAAGAAGAAACTTGGAAAACAAGCCCAAGACTGAGTACTACATATTCGTGTAGCTTTCAAATACATTAGGTAACTAAACACTTAATAAGCAGTAGGCACAAAGGCTTTCAGCATCTATTATAGCAAATGAAGTATTTAGGTTCCTTTTTAAGAATGTTAGGAAGTTGAAGTACTAGAGATTATTTTGTTTCAGCTAACAGTTTACATAGTATAACTTCAATTCCTCAGACCTACCTCCTAAGTAATTACTAGCTTGCTACAAAACCGGGTAAGATTAGTGCTCCTTTAATACTAAAATGCACCAGATTTTGTATATTAAAGATCCCGAGCTTGGTAGGAAAATGTTTTAAGAGTTAGAAAAAGACAAATCTGGGTATTTTTCCATGCTTAAATTAGCGTAATTATTGCTTCACAGTTTCACTTCAGTGCTATGAAGAATGCAATTGCATATCACCCACTGTATATGACAATAGAAGCCCAAACTATATACTCATTTCAAAAGGTATTTTTAAATAACTACACTTTATCTTCTATGGTCTTTCCCAGCCAAAAATGCTGTATAGCACTGTTGTGGTGTAAGACCAACCGGTAACTCAGACCCACACAGCTGCTGGCTCACTGCTCCCCTTCTCCCCACCCCACTCCCAGTGAGATGGGGAGGAGAACTGAAAGAATGTAAACACCATGGCTTGAGATACGAACAGTCCAGTAGCGAAAGTATAATACAAAACTACTACCACCACCAATAATAATAATGGTAAGGGACATAACAAGGGGAGAGAATATAAAACTAAAAAAGGAAAGGAAAAAACCCCCAATAAACTCAAGTGATGCACAATACAACCGCTCACTACCCGCCGACCGATACCCAGCCCCACCTGAGCAGCAATCTGGGCCTTCTGGGTAACTCCCCCTAGTTTCTATACTGGGCATGACATGCTGCGGTATGGAATAGCCCTTTGGCCAGTTTGGGTCAGGTGTCCTGTCTCTGCTTCCTCCCGAATTCTTTTGCCCCTCCTCACTGGCAGAGCATGAGAGACTGAAAAGTCCTTGGTCAGGGTAAACACTACTGAGCAACAACTAGAACATCAGCGTATTACTCCACTGTTCTCAGACTAAGGCCAAAACACAGCACTGCACCACCTACTAAGAAGGAGAAAAATAACTGTTACAGCTGAAGCGAGGACAAGCACACATCCACACTTAAAAGGCATGTTTATAATTTTAAGCATATATATGCATACAAGATCCATTCTTAAGTTATTGCTCCTTTCAGGAATTCATGTTTTAAGTATCACACCATGCACTAAGCTACATTGTAGATTAGACTATCTCCTAACTTCTTCATATTGCCCAACGCATCTGGTTCAGTTTCAAAAATGATGAGTAGTCTCTTCTTTCTTTAATGTTTAAAAGTTTACTGAATGACACAATCCACAGCTTGTCGGTTCAACAGGAAAATCTCTGAAATAAGCAAAAAACCAGTTACCTACCAAAGTCACAAATCACAAAGCTAAATGACCAAATTAATACCAATAAAAGTGTTGGACAAAACAATTCAGTATCAAAAAAGACAGAGCTGAAGAGTCAATGATCTGTAAGAAAGCCAAATAGTACATGGAAGGATCTTTTCTTTCTAAAAAGACCTGAACCTTGCTCTGAGCAAACACAATGGCAGCCAAACTCTTCAAGGATAATGCTACTTGCACCTACTCAGGTTAAGAATTTATGTAACTATCGTGACTATCCAGAATTAATTTTGTAGCAGTAATCAACAGAAGGGATATCTTGAAATGTGGTAAGGATCATCAAAATCTTACCATATACCTCACAGAGGTAAGGAAATTGAGGGAAATGAATGTGCCTTCTTTTAACTTGTCAATCTAAATCTTTATACCTTTCACTCTAACCTTTCATCATCTCCTATGTATCCATACCTAGAATTTGTTGTGGGGTTTTCAGAAAAGGAATGCTGCAAGCTGCTGCCTGGAGGTACAAGAGTGGACTTGGAATTTATACCCGCAATTCCCATTTGGGAAGGGGGTAATAGAGGGTAATCAAAAAGGAAAACAAGGTTTCATGCAATGAGTAACATTTCACACGGCAAAAAAATGCCAGAAATTTTTAATCTAATATGTGAGAAGTCAACTGGTGTAACTATATGAATGAAGTTCTAAGGCATTTTCTATTAGTGTCATCTCACTATACCCCAAAATGGTTGGCTAAGTATCAAGAACATTAGAAAGCTGGATCACTATTGTCATCTACTAAGCAGATTACGTTTCACATAAAAGCAATCAACGTTATAGATACTGCATAGACACAGATAATTAAGACTATTTTGATATTGTTCTGTATTGTTTCTAAGAAAATGATGGTAGAGTCAGTTAATTCTGAATATACACCAGACCCCACTTCTGTTAGTATGCAGGAACCTAAGAGACATCTTCCTTTTTCAGAAACCCAAGCCTGACTTTCAGCCAGCATTCTGCCCCTCAGAAAACACTACATTCCATTCTAACTATTCAAAAAGAATGTTACTTTTTTTCCTCACTGTAAGCAACAATGAAAAATTTTTTATGTATGAAAGTTCATTTATGTTTACAGATTTGGTTAAGAGTACAATGAGATATGGTATTTTTTGGTTTTTACATCACCAGCCTTCACAGTATAGGATTTGTATTTTCATGACAGCAATGTTCAGTTCCCTTAGGGCTAGGATCCTAAGAGTTTAACTGCTTTGTTTAACTTTCACTGCTGCTAGGTAATGAAGGTCACTCCTTAGTAAAAGACTACTAGGGTATGTGGGCCACAGAATTGATCTGAGTGAGATAGAAGATTACAAAAATGCCAATGTTCAGAAACACAGGATTTAAAAGCATTTTAAAGTTCTTCAATGCCAAATATCTTGTAAATCATCATGTAATAGCAACTGTGTATTGCTCTGGCATTCTGCTTTCCCTTTCCTTCCCCCCCATCCCAACTAGTCTGCTATTTTTGCACATTTAAATCTAAAATGGTATCATTTACTACTACCCTCTTTGCAGCTTAACAATTTGATTAATTTTAATTTGGATACTCCACAGAATCTTTTCTTTCATATATGCAAGAAAACCTAAATTGTGAGTTCCCAGTTTGGAAAAAAAGTTTAATTGTTACACATTATTTCATCAGTTGCAGTCAGGTCCTACTTAATTATCCTTTAAATGTTAGCTTTTAAGTAGGAAAAAAAAATATTAAAAATGCATCTAGAATAAATGATCAGCAACACAGTCTGTAGGAATTAACTCCCAGTTGTAGAATAGGCAAACTACATTTCTTCAGCTAGTTAGTCTTAAAATAAAACACACATAATAGCACTGTTCAGATCACTCAGTTGCTCATGCTGGCCTCCACTGTGTCAATCAAGCCCTCCCTTTAGACTGGAAGGAAATCAAGCCATGCGGTTAGACAGTAATCAAGAACTGGTTCATGTCAGTGTAAGGATGCACATGCTATTCATAACTGAATAATTTTATTTCTCTGGAGTTCATTTTGGTTTTCAGCATCGTGTTAGAGGTTTATTTTACAAATTTGAGAAAATGAAGAGTACCATATGGCCCATTAAATACATTTAATTTAGGTTAATGTTATAAAACAGATCTGACACATATAAAGTATAATCAAGTGGTACTTCACTGCAGACCTTATTCTAACACTAATTAAAACTAAGCATTCATAGGTGCCTTTTGTTGCCATGCTAAGATCTTGGTATAAATAAAAGCCTATATCAAAAAATAAAATATATCTTGGCCATTTCTATGGTTCACCTTTCACTTAGAGACATGTACTCGTCAGTTAGCTCTGCCTACCTTCCTTCCTTTATGTGACTCCAGCTGAAGTTAAAGCCTTGGAAGCTTCTGAGAATGGATTAAAATGTTTAAGTAATTTTTCAACAGGACAAATGAAGAACGACCAATTATTCTTGCAGTGATCCCAGCTTCAGAACTACAGAAAGGAAGCTTATTCTTCATGAATAATCAAACTTTATTCCATGAGTTGAATCACCATGTGTATTAGTAGCTGGTGCAAGGAAAACGCATTTAAGAAGCCAAAGCATGGTAGCCATCTAGATGAAATAAAATTATCTAAACAAAGAGCATAATTTATTAAATTAATCACAGGCCATGTAAAAATGCATAAAGCAACAGATTAGTATCTTTATTATTGCAAATGTGTTACACTAAATCATCATAAACAAGGTAGGAAAGGCCAGAGAAGTTGCATAGCAAAACATTCACATGTATATATCCTCTCATCTATAAAATCCTACTGCGCTGACAAACAAATCATTAGAGGAAGAAGGTTTGACACCTCTTTAAAAATGTTATTAGCTGTTTGTTTGCC